CCTGCTATTACATTATATACTGTCCGAATATAGGATCAAATCCCATTTTTAAATTTAATTTGCCAGTCAAATTGCTTTTTGACGTAATCACCTTCCGATCAAAATAGTTTTCGATGTTACTTAAGTCACCCAATTTCTATGGAGATGCCGTTTGACTTAAGTAACAGCGCTGAGAAACCCGTGAAAAGTGTACGTTCGTCGTTTCGCTTTCTCATTATTAAAGTGAATAAATCGAACTGTTTGTTGCTAAGATGATTTCGGTGGTCCTAAAATGATGAATGGGCTGCACGTAAGGAGACGTAATTGATAATTCTCCCGAATATCCTGGTAAATACACTTTGACTTAAGTAACAATAGGGGCCACCAAACGACGTATAATAACTTTTGACTCAAAAACCAGTATTTTTTAGCATGAAAGCTAGCGGTTTGCATTTGTATGATTAAAACCCTGCTAAATATGTGAAACATTGCTATCACTATGAGATTATATGTGTTTACTTGGAAATAGGAATAACTTTTCGGTCATCAAAACAAAACTTTATTTTTCTCGGATTGGTGCGAATGTTACTTACGACATAATGAAAATTTGCTCTTGAGTTCATCTCTACCGGATAAGTAGATCCGGGTGATCCTGGAGGCCAAAGACGAGAAAGAATAAGAGCAGTACAAGTCAAATAACAAAATAATTCTACAATGTGCATGAAACTTTGCAGAATTGTTTGTGCTAAAATTTGGCATTTTTTTCAAAATGGCGTATTCGATTTTTTTAATTAATCATAGCACGAAAACGTCACTTGCTTTTTTTTAATAAATAATAGCACGAAAAAGTTCCAAAGATTTATAAAAAGTTGTTATTTACGATTTTTGTCAATTTTCAAGTTTATTAGAGATGAACTAGCCTACACACTTAGAAAAAATCACCGACTTCGGTAATTCATTTACCGAATTCTCAACAGCTGAACGGTCGGTAATGTTTTCGGTAATCGAGAACATTACCGAAAGATCTGTAAACTGGATCAGCAAAATTAGCTGTCAAATTTACCGAACGATCGGTAACATTTACCGATGTGCATTGCTTGATTTGTAGTCGACTTTACCGGAGAACTGTAATTTGGAGGACGATATGCAAATCGAAAATTACCGAGTGATTTGTAATTTTATAAAAAGGTCACCGACTCAACTGTAATTTGCTGTAATATTGTTGGTGGTCACTGCAACGCATGCAAAAATTTGGCTGCAGCCGTGATCAATAAGCTAGTGTTGCAACACTTAAACAGAGACCCTGAGTTCGGTAAAAAAAATTACCGTCTTAGATCGGTAATGCTAAAAATTACAGATGTTTCGGTATTTTCTCGCTTTATTGCTGAAAACTGTAAATGAAATGACCGAATTTCGGTAATTTTATTTTAATTTACCGAAAACGGTAAACATTTTTACGGGCAGGTCTGTAAATCAGCTTCATCACTGACTTCGGTGAAATATTTTACTGAAGTTTCGGTAAACAAAGCGTTCCGTTACTGAGTTCGGTAACGGTCTAGGTAAACGTCAAATCCACCATATTGTTATTTTCGATCGACATTAAAAGCGTTAGTGCTTGTGCAACACCAAGATAAGCGAATCGTAGATATTTTCCGTAAATAATTAATTTTCGTTATCTAAATAAATACCGATTACAGATGGCCGATGTTATTGCTTGTTTTTTTTCTGTCGGTCCAAGTTCCATTCCCGTTGGCGACGATCTTCCAATGCTTCCTTGTTTTCAGTGTAGCGCCGAATCTTTCCGACAAAAACTTAAGTTTTCAGATAGTCGCCAACGGTTTTGTTCATTGGTGGTGTAATTTGCAACACTAGCTTATTGATCACGGCTGCAGCCAAATTTTTGCATGCGTTGCAGTGACCACCAACAATATTACAGCAAATTACAGTTGAGTCGGTGACCTTTTTATAAAATTACAAATCACTCGGTAATTTTCGATTTGCATATCGTCCTCCAAATTACAGTTCTCCGGTAAAGTCGACTACAAATCAAGCAATGCACATCGGTAAATGTTACCGATCGTTCGGTAAATTTGACAGCTAATTTTGCTGATCCAGTTTACAGATCTTTCGGTAATGTTCTCGATTACCGAAAACATTACCGACCGTTCAGCTGTTGAGAATTCGGTAAATGAATTACCGAAGTCGGTGATTTTTTCTAAGTGTGTAAGGCTAAAAATCTCTTAAATAAAGAATTGAAAAAAAAAAAAAAAAAAGTTTGTATTTTCATAAGCTTTAAAAAAATAAAGTCAGTAGTATTAAATGACATTTTTTGTTATTTAAATTTTTAACATATTCTTGGATTTTTCATTCAAAATAAAAAAAAGTGCATTTTTTTTTACGTTAAACTTTGTCTTCGACGTCATTTCGATTGGATGTGACGTTTCCGTGATGAAAAGTGACAGGATTCAAAATGGTCGAATTTTAGCACATACAGAAATATCACGATTTTTTCAGCCCCTCCACACATCAGACTTTAATTTTTCAATAATTTCATATAACCGTAATTCCAAATATGTCTCATTCCTTTTCAAGATGGATGTTTAAGGTATGTGCAAACCACTGAAAAAGCGCATGGGTTCCGTAGAATATTAGAAAAGATTTTCTGACAAAATCGGGTCATTACGTCATTACTGTATGTGAACGATTGCGCTTAATACCATAGAGGTAACTCTAAGACCAGAAGGTCCCGAAGAAACGAGCTCAACTTTTTGGCTCAGCTCTGGTACTCTCTTCGGTCTCAAGCTAATCGATTCACCCCTCGAAACATAGAAAAATCCACTAGCCCCTCATTGTATCTGTCAAACTTTCATAGCGAATCAAAACAAACATTGCATAGTACTAGAATTTCGACTAGAATGGGATACGTTCATCGTTTGCTTGGGACCAATAGGCTAGTCAAGTAGTGAGCCAATTTAAAATCGTTAGTTTCGTATTGATTGTTGTTAATACCCCGTACAGACTATCGCCTATATCATGTCCCGATCAACCATTTCGTTAATTTTCTATACATCGATAAAAATCGATAGCGATCGTCACCATTTCATGAATAATTGTAAAGATGCTAAAATTTTAATCGTGAATCGTTTATAAAGATCTTTCTCAAAATATTGCTACTGTGATTTTTATTTTTTACGAGAATCCCACCACGCATGCTATCACGGGTTATTAAATATAAAACGTGAACAACTACAATGGTAAACATTTGCAGCGTCACGGCCATCGGTCTTCTCGTTCATTTACCGGCAGATTGCTTCTTCCGATGAAATGCCGAATATGTCGATAAATAATCAAAACATTGCCATCTGTCACCTGGTGTGTCTCAAACTCTCTTTAACCAGCGATGCAAATCGATAACAAGGAGATTATAAATGTGCATCGATGGCAATCTTTGTTGTTCTTTGTCAAAGTTAAAAGTTACGATGATATCAGTATTTAAATATTTATTGATGAATATTTGTAAAGAATACTAAAGTCCATGTGACATATCGAAATTAAAAGAAATTTAGTATGGCACCTTTATAGATTACTATCATATGACCGATGAAGAAATAATCTTAAATGTAATTTTCGATCAATAAATATGCTTAAATGTGTACATCGAAATCATAGAAAATTTAAAGTAAAGAATTGCCGACATAAATCTTTATTTCTGTATAACGAACTTTGAAGAAGTTTCACGAACGGTTGGTCGGGGTAATATAGGCTGTCTTGCAATGAACACTCATACATCTAGTTTTCACTGGAAATCCCTCGGGAAATCCTTTGTATGAGTGCTCATTGCAAGACAGCCTATATTACATGATAATATAAGCCATAGTATGTACGGGGTATAACAAACAATTTATTATTAAAAGTTTCATGAAAATCGAATAAGGTCGATTCGTCATTTGCCGTGCACGCTAATTCAAAACTACCCAAATTTGGGTAGAATCCACCCAGATCGTTCAAAACTGAACCTACCCAAAAATGGGTAAACTGTGTTGGGAGTGACAAGTTGACAAATGAACAACGTTGATCGGATTCATTCTCCCAGCACAGTTAACCCATTTTTCGGTAGGTTCAGTTTTTACCGATCTGGGTGGATTGTACCCCAATTTGGGTAGTTTTGAAATAGCGTGTGGAATTGTTTAGAAGAAAAATAAAAGAAAAAACATTATTTTTAACACTTTCGGTTCCGTTAAGTTTTATCAAGACAGTTGAGCCTTTCGAAATAAACGAATTGAAAATTAAAAAAAAAAAATAGTATGCCTCGATGTTGAAGTTATGGGAGCCTAACCAGCTGTAGTTATCATTTTAAAGCAAAGGCACTATTTCATTTGAATCCTCTTTTCCATAACTGGCACATTATTAAATAAGTGCAACACCTCCCCCACGTGGCTCTTGAAGCAAGCAGTAAACAGTTCCCTTAAGTAGGTAGATTGCAATTCTAGACCTTACAGGTGCAATTTTATTTTAACCGGTTTCTCTTTCTTTCAAACCATGTTTTGAATTAAACTTATTGGGACTTAACTTTCGGATACAAAGATAGGTTTTCGATTGTCACTGAGTCATGGTCTTCGTAGGGTCTTATCCAGTCAGTTCTTTTTTTTTATACGAAGTTGAGTTTTTTGGATGCCAGATACTATTTTTTTCTCTCAAAAACACAAACATAAACAATAGACTGGTCAGACAGAAATGTTAAGTAAATACAAACAAGAAATATCTGTATTGCAAAAATACTTTTAAGGAACCACTATTGCATCTTTAAATAACATAATAAATAGCTTTTGTAAATTGTATTTGTTCTGTTGTTTGATCGTTCAAAACGAACCGGAACCGTTGTCATCAGTAGTAACCTTCCGGAGCTGGATTATCCGGACCGGACCGGTATCTCTCTCACACTAAAGCTCACTCGATGCGTCACGTCACTCCGCTCTCCGATGAGTTCGAGACGCACTATCCCACACCATGTGAGCTCTTGATTTGGTTTTGCATTGTACAGTTTCAGTCCAGTTGCGATGCTTGTAAAAAAGCACCTGCTTGTTTAGATGGAAGAAAGCGGAATCGGATTCATGGAATCCAAATAAACGTTTTGCTCCTGCCTGCTCACTGTGAGCAGCATTTGCATGTAGGTTAATTGCAAGATCTTATAACAAAATGCAGTCTCTTAGGTTTTGTTGGTTTCGATGTCACCTCAGTAGTACGTAGAGAGAACACATTTTGCTGCGATTTTATAAAAATCAGTCCCATTTGAACAGTTGAATTTCGTATAGCTAAGTCCATAAGATTTCACCACACTCGGCCGGATGTCGGCTCTCGTTATCACAATTTCTCTTCTATCATTCGAAAGGTTTCCTCTTAAATGTGATTCTTCCCGCAGATGCAGTACGAGTCGCACCCGAGGGGGGTTTTTTTTTGGATGGTATCAGGAAAGTCCAATTTGGGTTTGGTATCTCACATGTTTCGGTATTGCCCAGTCCATTTCATTTTGCACAGTGCATTGCCACCCAACGCGGACGAATGCCACCAAAATTCACACCACCAATTTTTTTTTTGTGTAGGCGAACAGTTCATGGCTACTGTTCGAAGCACCACCGTTTCTTTGGTATTCACACTGGTAAGTTTGGGAAAAAGTTCATCTCACTCGGTTGGGTTGTTTCTTAACCTTTATTTGATTACTAGTAAAAGTTCATAATTTAAATTTCATTTGTTGTTGTTGTTTGCTTTGCCTGTCGATACATAGTAGTTATGTATTTGTTGCATCATATAGAGTAGGTAAATATCTTAGTAGCATACTAGCAGTAGTAATAATTGTAGTTTTGTTTTGTTTGCAATTTTAAACTTTCTAAACACGATTACACAATTATTAATTTTTTGTATTTTTTTTTTCTTTTCTTCAGATTGTCTGTAACACACTTTTCTTTTCTACCATGGAGATGATCGAGATCCACTTTAGCACTGTGTCCATGCTACTTCCGCCTTTCCGTCGATAGACAATCACAAAGATGTTTTCTTAACTGTATGAACTTTCTTCCTATTGATGTGAGAATACTTTTTTTTTGTCGTTTCTACATGGAACAGATTTGCTCATCATGAATCTGTTAGGAAAGTTCTTCCCAAACTTTGATGTAATCTTCTGTTTCTTCTTCCAATAAAATCCATATTTTACGGACTGGAAAAATCACTTGCTTTCTTCGGGAAAATACCACACTGACAAAGGCCTAAGTCCGTTAAGAGGAACCGTCGAGCTTCATTTTAGTTTCTTCACTGTCGATTTTCAAATGGGATGGGCTACGCAAAATGCCAACACAAAAAGCACTGTCTTCTTCCGTTTCGCCATATAGCAAAACGATACGAGGGAACGAGATCACTGAAAAGTTTCACTACAGCCTCCACGTGACGGCGACGACGTCTACCTAATAAACTAGATAATTTCACTAGGCTGCTGGATAAGATGATACGAAGATTCTCTGCTCCATTTGTCGGTGTGGCAAACTACTCCAAGTATCAATTGGGTAGCCGATGCAGGTGATGATGATAAATATGATGTTGTTAATCAAAGTTGGTTATTTTTCTTCTCTGGCTCGTAAAAATCAATAATTGCATGTGGTAGTTCCATCGATGAATTATCACACGGAGCAGTAACTTATGTGCAGGTAAGGACGCAGCTTAGCGGTATCTGCTGGATGACGTCCGATGTGAAACGGGAGAGGCTGTCATAAATTGAGATAGAAAAAGATCATTCACTATGTGTGCAATGCAATGTCAAATTTAGGATTAAATTCTTTGCGGATGGCGATGTTACTCATGATCACTGGTTTAGGGTTAAATGGGATTGGTTGATTTTCCGTGATTGTAGAGACTATCGTACATAATGACATAACTTTACAGTTTACTTGATAGCTGTAGAAGAACTATGGGGGGTTGAGAGTTCATAGTCATAGAATTTTCATTACCATCAGCTTATTATTATCACATTATATTCGATGTTTGAGTCTAATATAACAGCGGGACAAACGCTCGAGCTGTTGAGTTGTTGATCTTGCATCATATCTATGAGCATTTCTTCTTTCGACCATTGTAATGATGACGGCCTATTGCTTTCACATGTGCCTATATTTTTTAGTTTTCTTATCCTTTGCAATGGAATTACCATCTTAAATGTAGCATATTGAACTACTTCCATTGAGCAGTATTATGTGTGCAACTAAGTTCTCACTGTTTTTTGATGAAAATTATTTCAGTTTAATGGTTTGGTTACAAATGAATCATTCAAACTATTGCCCATCTACAACTTTTTTTTCCATCTTTCTGGTAGAGCTCGAATACCATGACGTAGAAGTGTTCGTCTTTTGAGGCTATCCACCAAGCAAGCCATTTTGTTGTGTCTTCATATGAGCGGAACTGCAGTAATAATCGGACGGTACAATATCTGGGGAATATGGCGGGTGGGGCATGACTGTCCCTTTTGAGCGTTACTAAGTAGGTTTTAACAGGTTTGGCAACGTGAGGCCGAGCGTTGTCATGCTGTAGAATCACTTTTTCGTGCCTCTTCTCGTATTGTGGCCATATTTCGCGCAGTGCTCGGTTCAATCGCATCAATTGAGTTCGATACGGTTTCCCAGTGATGGTTTGGTTTAGTTTCAACAGCTCATAATAAATAACACCGACATGGTCCCACCAAATACACAGCATAACCTTCACAGCGTGAATATTCGACCGAGCCGACGACGTAGAAGCAAGACCGGGCAGTCCCCATTATTTTCTCTCTCTTTGGGTTGCTGTAATGAATCCATTTTTCATCACCCGTCACGACGCGATGAAGAAAACCCTTCCTTTTTGCCGCTGGACCAGTTGTTCACAGGTGGAAAAACGACGTCTCTTGGCTTCAAATCATAAGGAACCCAAGTTCGATGCTTTTGAATCATTCCCAACGCATGCAATTGCTTGGAATCGGCTTGGCGGATAACTCCTGAGCAATGCCTTCATTTTTTTCCCTTTATTAGAGATTTTTAGCCTAAGGCTAGTTCATCTCTTTTAAAAATTACAAAAAAGAATTGGGACCTCAAAAGGAGGATCCCAATCTTGGCAAGTGGGTATTTAGCTTAATTATATAAAATATTGTAAAAACACTACCAAAAGGGCCAACGAATTCCAAAGCACAAACAGAAAACACTCAAATGTTGTAAGGTTGTTGTTGAGGGCGTCTGCTGCCGGGGACTCGTCGCCAAGCAGACTTCGTATGCTGGTTCCCTCCAGACCGAAGGCAACCCGAAGGTCCTCGAGCTCCACACAGTTGATGAGGATGTGTTCTACGGAGGCTGGCACTCCGCAGGTTTCGCAGGTTCTCCGGAACGGTGTTCCTCCGAAACTATGGAAGGCCCTGCTATGCCCGGTGCGCAGCCTGGACACCACTTGCTGCTCCTTGAGGCTCGGTCGATCCTTCCAGGGATCGGTGGTCGCCTTGATTTTTCGTAGTTGGTGAGTTCGATTGTTCCTCCACTCGTTGTCCCACGCTCTCCGAACCGTCCGCTTGATCCATTTCTTGAAAGACGGCCGCTGCCTCAGCGGAAAACACCGAGCACTGGGCCGGAAGTGAATTGCTGACGACCAAACTATCTCCTGAAACCCCCATTCCCACTCCGCTGCTGGACAGCGAGCCATCAGTGTAGCTAATTTCGTGATCTTGATAGTGCGCCCCGAGAGTTTCGACGACTGTCCGGCGCAAAGCCAGTGAGTTGTCTCCTGCCCTGAAGCGGTCCTTGATTCGGCTGTCGATTCTGATCTGATGTGATTGCCAACTTTTGTCTCCGTGCCAGTGGACCCTGGCCACTGGAGGGAGATCTACGTCGGCGACCGTGCGGAGGAGTCGGTTCGCCTCGTCGAGGAGAAAGATCCTGCTGTTTCCCGACGTTTTAGCGAGGAAGGCAGCGGCTTTGGTAGCGGTAGCTGCGGTGTAGACGAGCCGAAAAGGCAGAATACCGGCTTCAACGCAAGCGGCGTCGGCCGGGGTGGAGGGCAGGAGACCGGAGACTGTTCTTACGTATCCGTTGTAGACCGGTTCCAAAGCAATGCCTTCAATTCAACGTCTTCGAAGCTGTTTGGCCTTCCTACTCCTTCCTCACTAATGTGCCACAGCGGTTTGTTTACCATATGTCTAAGCTTGGTTCATGACGTTTCCGATATGTCACAATCGACTAGCAACTGCTGGAGCCATCTATTGAAAAACAGCAAAAAGCATCTATCATATACGTATGTCATGGCTAGGACACTTTCGACTTAAAAGATTCCCCGTCATTCAATTTAACATTCACTGTTTAAGTTTTATTCAAACTGGCGAAGTGGTGCTCAACTTGATCAGTTGCTTATCTTGTATTGTATCGGAAATCACTGATTCAAAATCTGCTATCTTTCGTGATTGAATTCCATCTCTGTGCCTTCTTTGGCGTTAGAGCTATCGATATGCTTATCTTGTATCATATCTATGATCATCTCTTTCATTGGCCTTTGGTTTGAGATTCTCCATTCTTCGTGATACAATTGGCGTCTATGTTTCAGTAGACTCGCTGTTTAAGCGCTGACAAGTTGTTGAGTTTTTCAGTTTGTAATTTTTTTTACGAAGGATCTGCAAACATTTTTTTTTTTTCCTATTGAATGGTTGCATTGCCTGGACACTAAAAAATACTGATTTATTTTGCTTATCTTGTAGTACAACCATCTCAACCATTTATCATTGTGCAAGTCGTCTCTTACCTACGAAAAGAAAACAATCCAAAACAATTCAATTTAAACCGCAACCAACATGGCAACTCACCTTCAAATCATCGTCGTTCCCGGTTGTGATAGCCTCTGCCACCGCGATGGCTGCGATCGTTCCGATGATTCCGGTCACGATCCCGCTGACCACGATTGTCGTCTCGATCGTTCTTGCGACCGTGGGACGGGCCACCGCCAGCCGACAGTGGTACCACCGGTGGTGGAATATGATAGTTCGGTAGCGGTGGAGGAGGGCCTTTCATCGAGGGCAATCCACCTGCCGCCGAAGTGGGAATCGATGTTGTACCGGGAGCACCTCCCGGTGGTGGTTTCCACATGAATTCATCGTATTTGTCGTACGGATTACCACGTGGAGGCGGAACACCGGCTGCACCAGTTACGCTTCCAGGGATAGCTCCCGGCGGAAGGGGATAATCGGGAATAGGTAAGCCTTCATAATAGCGCGGTGGTGGCAAACCTTCGTACGGCATCGGCATTCCAGGGAATCCTGGCGGCGGAGCGTACGGCATGGGAGGCAACTGATGCTGCATTGTGCGCATATAATCGGCAACGTATGCTTCGGCTGCAGCGGTACTGCTATAGCGTTCCCAACTGTGAAAACCAGCAGCGGATGCTGCAGCAGCTGCGGCAGCAGCTCCATGAGGCATACGAGGACCATGCCCACGACGAAGATCCTTGCGATATGGAGGGAACATCCCTGGGCGTCCTTTTCCATGAAATATCTTCCTTCGACCACCGCGGATCGGACCACCTCCACCACCACCACCACCACCTCCTCCTCCTCCTCGGCCACCTCGCATCATCGAACTTGAAGGGCGCGAAAAGTTCGGCGGACGCCGGAACGATTTGGAAGCAGCCTTCTCTTTCATCAATTTGGATGCTTCCTTCGATTTCTTTAGAATTGGTGTCATTTCAACTGATGTATCCTCCGGGAATAATCTACACAATTCTTCCGCCACCTTCGGTTCAATTTCCTGCCCATCTCGTCCTATTTTCACCGGTTTATTTTCATTCCATGGATTATACAAGTGGGTAGTACTTGTGAACGGAAGCTCTTTTTTGCACACCCAATCGATTTTGATAACACCTCCAAGCGCCTTGGCAGACATTCCCGGTGGAAGTACCCATTCAACTGCCGGTAAATCCCGACGAGCTTCAGCTGCCATGCGAGCGAATCCGGCAAATTTGCCACTCTCTTTGACAGAAAATACCAGTACAACATTGCGGCTCTCTCGGAACGCCTGATTCAGATTAGCCTCATTCGGTGGCAAGGTGGACCAGACGCCCTTTGTCTTCGAAATGGTGACATTTTCCGTGTTATTCGATTTGATCAAGAAGAAACGAGTCTCTCGGAAGAGATAGTTAATTTTAGTAATGTAATCATACGATTTGACGGAATTTTTCACGGAGCTATTTTTCGTTCTGCTTCGTTTATTTTCCGTGGCAGTAGTCGTGGCCGCCGTCTGTGGGCTCCGACTGCGAGATTTCCGCTCCTTCTTGGTACTGTTATTCGCCGCGGCAGTTCCACCGCTACTTCCGCCATCTTTTTCCCCATCTTTTTTGGGCTCTTTCTCCTCCTTCTTCTTGGCTTTCTTCTTTTGCTGTTGCTTTTTGTCAGCAGAATTTCTCCGCTCGGTATTCTCGTCGTCATCTTCTTCGTCATCATCGTCGTCCGAGGAATCGGAGCTTACCTCACTGATACTGGGATTCGTCGTGGTACTGTCGGAACTTGCGTGAGACGCCTCACTCCTCGTATCGTAGCTATTCTCCAGCGCTTCCGCAATATCTCGTTCTGTTTCGTCCAGACCGAGATTCACTGCGTCCAGATCGGCCATCTTTTCTGTGTCTGACTACTCTCGTTCTGCGCTCGTATAGCAGAGGGACAAGATGCACATAAAAACGCACACAAACATACACGATCACTACTACAACTGCTGCTGCTACTACTGTTGCTGCTGATGTTATGTACCGACAGAGGTAACGCACACACAACAAAACAATGAACCCGTTTTCATTCGCCGCAGTCCAAGATAATTATGATGATGGCGATGATGATTGAAGAGCTACCCCGAAACAACGGCCAGTGTTGTCAGGGTTGATCGAATGTATGATCACAGGTTCTGAAAGAGAAGGAAAATGGATTGCGTTATTGAGCTGTGGGACGAAGTTTGATTGCGAAGCCTAGGGCTTCCTTTTTGAAACCTAGAAGTAGTCACATAGTCACTATGAACGGAGTTTCAATTTGTTGGTCAAGTCAAGTGACATATCAAAAATTAATGTTTGTGTCCTCATATAAACAATCGCACAGTGAAGTTCACGGAAACATGAACATGAAGTTGCAAGAAACATGCAGACATGAACCGTATTGGAGCATGTAATCCGTAATTAGCTGGTCGGGGTTCGAGATGCAGGAAACTCCTCAATCGTAGAACTCGTTCAGGTGCATAGATTTCAAATTCAGCCAAAATCCCGGGAGAATCGATTTCGCTTATCAGCACTTTTGCCGCAAAACCCTGGTTAATCTTCCGCCTATGTTCAAGAGTTTCAATACCCAGGAGTTGGCAACGATCTTCGTAGGGTGGAAGGTTCGTTGGATCATTCCAAGAATGGTGGCGAAGAGCGTAACGAACGAATTTCCTCTGAACAGACTCGATCCTCGCTATCTAAACTGTTTCATACGGACACCATACTGCTACACCGAATTCCAAGATCGATCGCACTAGAGAACAATATAGAGCTGTTAGGCTGATAGGCTTCCGAAATTCGTCAGAGATCTTAAAGATGAATTCGAGTTGCCTGTTAGCTTTGGCTATGATATCCGTGTAATGTAGCTTAAATATCTAAGCGGAATCAAGTGTAATTCCTAGATCACAAACGTTTTCCACAAACTGCAAAGGTTGGTTATCGTTCGTATTATTGAATGCAATAGGTTTTAGCTTGCGATGGAAAGTGATGAAAATACATCGCTGAACACTCAACGTGAGAAAATTCCTACAGCACCACTCTTCGAAACTATCGATCAGGTGCTACCACCGCAACCAATCAGTTAAGCATCGCACTACCACGTACATCTTGACATTGTCTGCATATAATGGCCGGCGTTGGAAGTAACAAACCGATTTTCACACAAAGTTCTCGATTTGTAAGGTACTATTCAAACCAACGAGTGAGTCCTTGAGAGATACCGAGCTTCTCCAGTTTGGCAAGTAGAATGGCATGACCAACCCGGTCGAAAGCAGCCTTGAGGTCCGTGTATCCGTGTCCGTGAGGTTTGTTGAGACCGAACGTTTGGGGGAGGAAACCATGATGGTCAGGAGAAATGTAGTTTCTACAGCTGGCAAATAAAGCGTCGTTTATGGTTATCTCGAATACTTTCCTCGGTAATTCTCCACATTTCGCTTGTATCCTTTCTTGAAAATTGGGAACATGAACGAAGATTTCCAACGAGCTTTGAAAGCTCTGTTGAGCATCGTTTGTGTATGGACGGTGGAATGCCGTCAGGCCCAACAGCGTTCGAGAATTTCAGGTTCTGGATGGCAGAGTCTCTATTATATTGGAATTCTTCCAGAAATTGTTTAAGAGCTGAATTTTGCGTTTTTAATAATTTAATTTAATATCAAAAGTGACGTACGAATGTGTCAGTCTCAATGTCGATTTTTTCACCTCCACTTAAGCCTTAAACCAGTTTAAGCGTGGAAGTGCACCTAGAACACTAAGTTGAGAGCACGCAATAAGCTAATTTGCGATTAGCAACAAGCTTGAAATGCGACGAAGCAGAAGCAACATATTTCGTCTTAACTACTGTATGGCTTTCTTAGTGCCAAGTACTCAATATAAACAATATGATGATATTTTTCAATTTCAAACCCTTCACGCTCCATATTGGTTGGGAAAAAGTGACATTAGTGAATGACTTCAAAATAGTGACCTACTGTGTTACCTGCCCTATAACGAATATACGTTGTGCCCGTGGGCCCCGGATACAACGTATACTTCGTCTAATTTAACATAGCATTTGTCATGCAAAATTAGACGAGTTCATGTTCCCCGGATACAACGTATATTCGTTATGAGTCTGGTAAGACAGTAGCCACAATCTATTTTACTCTCGTTCTATAGTTAAACATAGTGTCGGAAGTAGTGCTCCATAATCGTACAATGATGCGCTATACAGCGCACTACTTCCGACACTATGTTCAACGTCTACAGAACGAGCGTAAAATCTATTGAATTACCTGATTTATAACGAATATACGTTGTATCCGGGGGAACATGAACTGGTCTAATTTTGCATGGCAAATGCTATGTTAAATTATATGAAGTATACGTTGTATCCGGGCCCGCGGGAGCAACGTATATTCGTTATAGGTCAAGTAACACAGTAATGGGTTTTTCCGCATTTCAACTGTACCGATAATACAGTCGAAATTCGCTGGCTGGGCTTTTAATACTTGGGCCTCCGCTAGTTGGATCATAACCTAATTAAAAAGCAATTGAATGTCAAAGTCGCATGTCATGAATTTGTCAATGAAACATAAATTCTGCCAGTGGGTGAGCATTAGAGTGATGCAAAATTTTAAATTTTTGCTCCACAATACTTAAACGATTCCAAATCGGATCCTGACTAACCTCTCAAAATTTGAACCCATTTGGTAAGAAACTGAGATGGCACAAACCATTTGAAGTTTGTATGGGAATTACTATGGTAAAACCAAGATTTTTGTTCATGTCTATCTAATAATTCACCATATCGGTCTGCTTCAAAAGCTTTCAACTGTACTTGTAGGAAAGTTTCCCAGCTACAACTTTGCTAAAGACTACTTTTTGATTAAATGCAAGGATCGAAAGTTATCAATGGTTCAAAGCTCTGATGTCTTATGATCATGCTCAATCAACTGCTCAGCAGGCAACATTGGTGTTTCTGGGGCGTTGAATAGGACACAAAAATCATGGCTACTATGTCACACTGCAAAATACAGTGTTGCCTATAGAGCAGCTGCTTGATCATGTCATAAGTTTACCAATCTCTTAAATAATTAATAACTTTTTCCTGTCTCGTTTTACATAGAAACAATCTTCAGCAAAGTTGTAGCTGAGAAAATTTTCTATCGACCTGTTACGCAGCTCAATATGGAAAAATACTAGAAGGCAATGAACAAAAAGTTGAGATTTCCCATAGTAATTTACATGTAAACTTCAAATGACTTGTGCGAAGTCTGTTTCTAACCAAATGAGTTGTAACTTTAGGAGACTAATCAGGACCCGGTTTGAAACCATTTAAGCACAGTGGAGTGAAAAAGTCAAATTTTGCATCAGTCTAGTGAGCATATGCGTTTAGGACTGCAAATCAAATGTAATGAATGTAAATATTTGCTATTTGTACGAGTTTAATTTGACACGAGACATTTGAGTTTAATTTGAAATTGGTTAAAGAAAATACAAACAAAAATTGTGCACATAATATGATTTGCTTATTCCACTCAGCTTCAAGTAACTTGCTTCAATCCACTGTGATTGAATCCGTTTTTTGAAAAATCTTCCGTAGAGCTGATCATCGCAGTATTGTCCATGTGCTGTCTAACCTAGATTGGGAGCATATTCTAGATCCTGTAGACGTCAACATTGCTGCACAAACCTTTTCTCACGTCTTGGCATATGTAATTGACAGACACGTTTCCAAAAAAGATCATCCATATCGACTCTCGCGTCCCGTGGATGACGAAAGATCTTTGCTCGTTGAAAAGAACTAAGAAGGCTATGGTCTCAGAAGATTTATTAAACTCCGCACACTGCCGCTGAAATGCTACTATGTCAGACTCAACCACGAGTATAAGCAGTTAAGTCGTCTCTGTTTTCAACGCTATCAAAGGGGGATTCAACGGCGGCTAAAATCACACCCGAAATCCTCCTGGAACTTCGTCAATGCAGGGAAGTCGACTTACCCTCTTCCATGATTTTTAATGGTGAAACTGCTGGCAATCAACAAGACATTTGCAACCTGTTCTCAGCCAAATTTGCTAGTGTGGTTGAAGACAAGCAACTCTCCGCTAATCTCATTACTTCCGCGGCCAGTAATGTTCCTTTGGTCAACCAAACGCTCAGCGTGGTCGAAGCCACTACAGATACGATTTCTAGAGCAGCATCTTAACTTAAGACTTCAGCTATGGCTGAACCCGATGGTGTTCCGTCGATTATTCTTAAAAAGAACATCACTTGTCTTTTAGATCAACTGCGCCGCATTTTTCAGCTCTCTCTTTCCAGCGGTATCTTTCCGTCTTGCTGGAAGACTGCGGATATGTTTCCTGTGCATAAAAAGGGAAGCAAACGCGACGTTAACAACTACCGCGGAATCACGTCGCTGAGTGCTGTATCAAAACTTTTTGAATTGGTTGTCATAGAGTCCCTAAATGCGCATTGCTAGCAATATCTAAGTATAGATCAACACGGATTCATAACTGGGCGTTCCACAATTACGAGCTGTGCCTAACGTCTTACATCACAGACAGTTTGATTGCTCGGACCCAAAGGGACGTTATCTACACAGATCTTACGGCAGCCTTCGATAAGCTGAACCACGAAATTGCGATCGCTAAGCTTGATAGGCTAGGGATCGGTGGAAATCTTTTGAGATGGTTTCGTTCATACCTCACGGAGCGCCAACTGACAGTAACTTCCCTAATAAAAATTGTATGGTTAATTTGCTTAACGACGTGTTCTGGGTATCATCCAAACCATTTGTGGAATAGTTCAATGATTTGGGTTATCGTTTGTTTATGGTTATTTTTTATTAGGGTTTGGGTACTTGTCGCTCAGCAAGCTTCTGCGCAAAGTCCGATATACCTCAGGGTAGCCATCTGGGACCATTGGTATTTCTTTTTTTTTTATATATCTTTATTAAGGAGACTTTCAGCCGTTGGCTGGCTCGTCTCCGAATACCCCAGAGGGGGGTATTCCTAGGAGAAAAGGGGGTTTACAGAGTTTTTAGAATGTACAGAGTTTTGGTTTTTGAAACTTATGTTTCCTGTCTCAGCTAGCTGTCAAATTTTCATTTCAAAGGCTGTCTAAAGGACCCCGGTAGAGCCCCACCGGCAGAGGCTGCCAGGTGAACCTGGCAGCTGCT